AGTAAACCTATTTCGATAAAGACAAAGCGCACCGAATAATATTTCTGTCTGCTCTGTAGCTGTTGTGGTCTGCTTTTGTTTGAGCATTTTGTTTCTTAAGAGAAAAGTCTTTCATTAATTTTAATATTATTGAGTCTTTATTAGCTCAAGTTTAATTTGTGCAGCATGTATACAAACATACATAAGAATTGAGCGAATATTTCCGCACTAAAGGGAATATCAAGTTATGCAAGCTCCGCTCCGTTTTGTTAACAAATAATAGTAATTGATAGCCCTCTGCCCCTTTCATTGCGAGGGGGGCTTCTCTTTGACCTGTAAAATTTTCAATTATATATTTCTAGACCATCCCAATTCCGAAGGGAAGATTTGAACTTTCACTGCGGTAAGTGCATTTATTTCGCTACATATCCTATCCTATATATTGAATACTTATTGCTTTTTTCTTTTCTTTGTTACATATGGTAAGCTGGGCCAAAATTAGGTTTAAAAAGTTCAAGTTTACTTTACCACAATTTTTGCACCTTTTTTTCTGGTTTTCTGATGCTTTTAATGATTTACATAAAATTTCTTTATAATAGGCGACTCACTTTGAGAAACAGTGAAAATAAAACACTGAAATTGTTCTGCTTATTTGATCTTGACCTGTCACCACGACTTTGTGCTCTGCACAGTTACCAAAATAACCGTATACGCGTCAAAAAGTTTTTTTTTTAAAGTAAGTGTGATCAAATATAAGGTACACATAATTGTTTTCTTTTTAGATCTACTCTTGCCGTTCCATATGCAAAAACCATAAATGCCCATCGAAGACTGTGCAAGGTCCAAATACATATTACAGAATATATTTGTGATCAGCATTGTGCTCCAAGTTCTTGGTGTCAAGTTTGTCCGACTGTCAATATTTGCCACAAACAAGCTTAAGTAACTCAAGGCATTACGATTGGATAAGGTTGAAACAGCCCACCCATTATTTGCATGATTAGCTATTTTCATGGCAGTTCTTTTTTGTACATAAGAGCTCAGTAATATAAACTCCATATATTATATGTATTATTATTATTCATTTATGTACTTACAAAAATTTCATCCTTGCTAAGCAAATTTCTAAAGGCATAAAGCGTTTGTTTGTTTATATGATATTTTTATCTATAAGCTAATAAGTAAATAAACAAGTAATAAACTTTTAATTGCTTGGAAGAGTAGGACATTGTCCATCTGTGAGAAGCTGGGTAAGTGTTGGAAATACGCTGCTCTATAAGCCAAACGTCAAATGTAAATTTTCTTATTTCTTATTGTTGCTGTTGTTTGTACTTGTCGTTGTTGTTGTTTCTACATCAGGACTACAGTTGTTTACGGTTATTCGTATATTGTTTCTGAAATAGAAAAATGGACTCAAATCTTTGGTATTCATATATATGCGTATATATATATATATATATATATATTGTGTTTATCAGACTATATATATTGACTATCAGAAAACACACTTTGCCAAGATTTGTAATTTTCGAATTTGTTTCGCATTATTATTTTTGCAATTTTCAAAACATTCTGAGAAAGGCCTAACCAACTGCTTGTATTTCTTTTAGCGCACTGTTGCTGTTGTTGTTGGCGCAACACTAATACTCTGCCATTATCTCTGACAACTGCTGGCTGGCCTCACTATATGCTGCATTAATGAATGATGGCAACGTAACAATAGTTCTTGTATGCCTTTTGTTTGTTATATGCTTTAGGTTAATAATTTTCTTGTTATTATACTCCAACACAGTTATGCAAATAAAGAATAATAATACTTTTGGGATTAAGATGGATTAGTTTAAAAAATGCATTTCTGAACTTGATCGGATCTTAGAAAGCCAAAAAAAATTTAAGTTATTGCCTAAGTAAACCGACTGCTCGTGTAGGAGTCTTCTTGTACCGTAATATGTGAGTTTCTAGTTCTCGTTTGTTGACACCACACACGGTACAACTTGTGTTGCAAGGGTATTTTATGTTCACACAAAATTCTTTATATTGAACAGTCGTTACATGAATAATTGTAGTGTGATATACGGCATTTAATTTTAATCGGGCAACCGAAATTGTGGCCAACATCGTCTTTTCGTATATGAAAGATTCCTACGGAGAGATGTCTCAAAGTTTTTTTGCTTGTAAACTTTCTTCTAATTGATTGCCTATGATCCCGTCTGTATGCTAACATCTACACTCAATATAATAGATATATATATATATATATATATTTAATATTTTCGTCAAGTGTTAATCCTGTTAATACTTTTTATTTAAAAAATTGCTGCACATTATTTCGCTTTACGCTGTCTACCGTCATCAGCTTATTTTTCATACATGTATGTATAAATGTATGCAGCCTACATTGCATATGCAACAATCTTCCGTGCATCTGGAAATTAATTTCGTCAAGACTAATAGAAATCTTTTTTTTTAATTATATATGTATACTTTAAGAAATGGCTTCAATTGTCACATAGCGGAAGATAGGCATTAAAATTGCAAACAACGCGAATTGATGTGTACATTGACGTACACATTTAAAGTGGTAATGGTCAGTACGAAGTAGGGAAAGATAAAGAGGATAGGACCAGCGAACCCGCAGCTGAATGTGCGGCTAAGTGGTAAGTGCTAATCCTTTACCGACTGAGTACGCACTACAGCTACGACCAAGTATGACTGCAATGAGATTCAAATCCGCAAAACACCGACCTTATGGTCGCTGCTTTTATCTCCTCGGCTGTATGGCAGTAAGTAAGAATAACATTGCAAGATAAACTTATGTTCGCCTTGAGACTGCTCTTAGATCCATCAACCATTTTCATTTATTTATTTATTCACCTCGGGCTACACTTACACATTCAGCCATATTAAGCAGCACTCTTAAGGGCTTAAACTACGGTATTACTTAAACTCGGGGTCCTAACATTACAAAGTTGACTTAGATTTGTGCATAACTTGAAAGTTAGAATATCGTTTTCTTTTAAGCCTTCATTTTTCATCTAAATTAAGCAAATAATTATGTTTAGTGAACTTTACATTATGTCCCAAGATGGCGAAATATATTTATTCATAATATTCAATACTTGTTTTATGATACATTAGGTGGTTTAGATTTCATTATGGTGAATTGATTACTAACATTTTGATCCGAGCAACCGAATCAGAAAAGGAGAATAAATGATAATAAACATTAGTATTTTTACAAGCAACATAAAAGGGATTAAAAAGCCCATATTTAAAGCGATAAAACAATGATCAGGATATATCATCAACCAAAAACTGTAAAATATGAACATCTTCTCTGTCGTCCTCTCTGTCGTATGATGTAAGTTATCCGTGAAAATTTCTTACATTTACTTGGATGAATAAACAGCAAACTCACTTAACTGCAAAGGCGATGTGGATCTGTATCAAACGGTAGGCAAAGTTTTACATCATCAGCACACATTAAGATATGTGATATGTGTGAGAAGATCGTTAAAGCACAGTAAAGTTAATAGTTTTCACCTTCTAAGTAAACAAATTATTTGCTTAGAATACTTTTAAGCTTAAAGTATTAGCAAAGTTAGTTGAAACTGTAACATTATATATCAAAGATAGCAATTAGAAAGGCAAGTAAACAATATAGAATATTATAGGCATTAAAGTATTAAAGGCAAATGTAAGTCTATGTAAGTATGTTATATAATTACTTGTATGCTACAGTCATTTACTGCAATTTATATCACCATTTACTGCAAAGTTTTACCGGCTGCTAATGCAATCTGCTGTCAAAAGTATTTGCGAATATTCATTTGTCCGAGCTCACAGGCGGTAGTAATCCAAGCAACCTTATACATATGTGTCCCATACTATTTCCGGTGTTATTCCGACTTGGGTGATGAGCGTCATTACTATTCATTTAGATATTACAAAAACAGGCTTGCTCGCGCGAACAAACAACTAAACCTGTGCACGATTCTAATTCGAAGAATAAACACCGATGTGTACTAAGATTACTTTTAAAATAAATAATTTGAAAAGGGTAGAAATATTTTCGTTTTCCTCGGTGAGAGTTTTAGATTTTCTTCTTTTGAACGATTTTAGGAATGTATTTTTTGGAATATTTGTTTACTTTAAAGAATCTCTTGTGGATGCTGTATTAGACAAAGGTTAACTGTTCAGTTAATCTGGGAACTAAATATATTTCTGGGAGAATAGTGAGTTTGTTGTTCTCTGTTGTGAATGATGAAATTATAACAAAACTGAACACACGTGTACATCAACAAAAATGAATCCACGCAGTGAGCGAAGTGTGCGAATACAATTTGAGAAGAGAGAGAGAAAGAAAAATCAATAGACAAACATGAAAATGAAAAACAAAAGGAAATACATATGATTTTGACATATATCCTGCTAAAAATAGAACTTTCTCTTTCGTCCTCTCTAATGTTCTCTCACTGAAATATACAACAACAGAATAGTAAAAATTTTTCGTGAAAATCTTTTCCACCGAAGTGGAAACTCGCATTTTAGTTGTTCGCAGCTATCCTCTGAGTCGGTTGAAGGCAACGGCTAAACGTATACGCAAACATTTACCACACAGCAGTCATATAAGTAGTCGACAATCCAACCAACGAACCAAGCAGCCAACAAACCAATCGAATATACATGGCTATGTGTATGTAATTGCGTTCGTGTGTTTATGAGGTGAACGTGAAGTTTATATATAGAAAATTAACATGCAGCTGAAAAGAAAATTTTTATATAGTTTTTCATAATAGTTTTCCTTTTTTATTTTAAATTTTCAAAAGTAATTTTGAAATCGTTAAAGTGTTTTAAAAAAATTGATGATTAAATCACTTTTTTAATGAAAGGAAAAATGTGAAATCAATGCAATTTCAAGTGATGGCTCCGCCCAGTGTTATACAAAATTTAAAACAATTAAAAACAAAACTCTAAACTGTTTTGAAATTTTGAAAATAAGGAGGAAAAAAGTAACAAATAAACAAGAAAAGAGTGTTCCCTTTATTTTTTATTAAAAGCAAGTGATTGTAATAGAAAACGAACAAAAGCAAACACTTTAAGAAAATGCTAGAAAAATGCACCACTTTACGTCGTGTGATAAGTTGATGACACATATTTCTCTCGTTTTGACCGCATTCCTGCTGTTTTATTTTTTATTCCTGCCTTCAACATTGACAACCGTCGAAGCCACTCCCGAGGATGAAGCGTAAGTGTCCGCCATGGCTCGGCTTCTCAAAGCTTATTTCTTTCACTTTCTATAGAAAATATGTATGCGTGTATGTGAAGTACGTACACACTTAACACTTTGACACTGATATCTATATAAGAATGAATCGTGTCATGCTTGCTGTTTTGAGAATTTTGTAAACACCAGCAACAACCACAGCGACGCCTCAATGTGTCCTTGCCTATAGTAATTAACTGTTTTCTAAGTAAATTATCACTTGAAAGATACTTATTTTAATATAGGGATACATATATATATATGTGTTCACGCATACACGCGCACTTATTTATAAGGGCATGCTTTGTTTTTTCTTTTTCATTTTGTTTTATTCTTGTTGAATTTTTCCTTTGTTATCAAGAATATGCACTAGAGGCTGTTAGGTTAAAATGTGTTTATTCAAGCGTTTTTAATGAGTTTCTCTATCATTTTATTTTGCTTACATGTTACGTTAGTTCTCTATTAAATACATGAGTATACGACTGCTACATATCTGAGGCCAGAAGACGGAGGTATATTAAACGTTGCCACATTATTTGTAAAATTCATTTCATATTGACAATCAGCGTAAAATTATGAACCATGCCTTTGACCCACGCACCCCTTCGTCTACTTCTCTACATTGATTAAGATACAGATGCACTTTTATTCGATTGATTGATCAATGTCAAGAGGAATTATGTATATCCGCTAACAACGGTAATAGCCTTGATAAAATCTTACTATGTCGAAATATCGAATTACGCAATAGCGAGATCATTGTAAACATCTATCTAATCTAATTTTTCTGATATTAGATGTTTGTAAAATAATGATCAGGATAAATACACACTTCTACTTGAGATGATCAGTGTGTTGTTCAGTCTTAATCGCTGCAATACCAAAATTGAGTCTGCGTCTCTTTGAAGCTATTGAGTTTAAATCGACAGTTTGTCCAACACACAAGCGTTGGGTAAATTTTTTTTTTTTGCTGACAGGTAGACAAAATTCGTCCCAATCCAAGTAAAATTTCCCTACTTATTGGACATTGAATTTAGTCAGCACCATTGTGTGCGATATGAGAAAGGAATGTAAGATAGGTATGTACGCAATTTGTTTTCAAAGATGTTTTATTAGTCTTCCTATTCTTTTAATTTTAAGAAAATATGAGCCTAAAATAACATCAAAAAAGCTTTAAAGGTTTAAGAAAAGAAAAATTTTGCATCACATGTGTGCAATAGAAAAAAACGTCACATAATCATAATCATATCAGATATATACTTATGAAACCGGAACATTATATTCGAAATATTCAAATCCCACCTGACTGACAGTTTGCGGACGCTACGCTAAAAAACCTGAAGAGCTACTCAACCACTGCTCGTCCCATCGATACAAACAAATGCTATTGTATAAGATATATTTTGTAATCAAAACCTAAAAAAAGTAACAGAAGTCGCGGCGAATATGTGGAACACGATATACCAGAGGATCTTCCATTCTTCTAATAGTATAGATTTGTTCAACAATTTGTCTAGAAACTAGGTAGGTGGACAACCATCAAATATTCCGTAGGAGCTATTACCGCCGCAATGTCATAATCCGGAAAAATTTATAGTATTATCAAACAGTTCGTTGATACTGCATAAGCGGTGAAAGAATCCTTGTCTTCTCTTTTTCAAAAAGTTTGCAGCACTCAAAAAAATTATATAAATCCTATAAAGTGCATATATGTTGATCAGTGTCAATTTCTAAATTGAACCAGGCATGTCTATTCATCCGTTTGTCCGTCTTTGTGGATAGATGGGTATGGATAAGTATTCGATGAAAAAAATGACTATATCGATTTCGAAGTTCGCAGACAAATTGGAACCTTTTTCACGCGACATGACATTACAAATGAGCGAAGTGGATCCCATCACATGCTCACAGTACAGTGTACACAGTGTTGTCAGAAATTTAAAGAGTTGGATTTTCTCCTCATTTCTCTCATAAACTACAACAAGCATAACGGTATAAATTTTCACGGATATTCATGGATTATCTTCCAGTAACTATACAAAAAGTCAACTAAGTCCATCTCTTACCACAAAATACCTCAATTTCATTCTTTGCTTTTATTGGTATTTCTTTTAAGAGAAAATTGTTCGTGTCAAAGAATCGGGCCAGAACAAAGCCTAATTTTCTTATTTAAATGTTTCGTAATAAAATTGACTAAGAGCTAAACTGAACAGAAAAGCAAACCGCTCGCCGAAGATAACTCAAATTTTATGCAGATGTACTTAGTACGCCCACAAAGTATCAAACATAGACATAATTCTCTTGAAACTAATACTTATTCAACATTTAATCGCAGCAGTTTGACTGCAGCCAATGGATGACGTTTTCAACAACGGTCTTCTCTAAGAGATAAAAAAGTTGTGATATTCATCTAATTTAGACGTGGTCTTCAAGTAAATCACGGGTGACGAGAAAAGTTATTAGCAGCAATTTCCCCTTTCCGCGCTACCTAAATCCTTTTATTAAGCAAAACAAGCATAAACAGTACGGCTTGTCACGGCCCACCATTAAATGATATACACCACTTCGGTTCACACAGTTACTCCTATAACGATTTTTCGAAACAAGGCCTTACATGGGAGGTGGCCAAAAACTTTCAATAGCGTAAGTTCTTGGTCCAAAACATTTCACTTCCCCGAATTTCACTGTATCAGATTTCATCAATATATCTGAAAAACCGCTGTCTGTAGGTTGAACACAAGAAAAGAAGAAGGACAAACGTGCTTACAGACTTATTCTGAATCGATCGGTATAGTGAAAGGTGAGTCTGTCTTCTATCTATTCTCTTTGGTAATTGCATATATCCACACAAACTAAATATATTCTCGTAAGGCATGTGGTGTATGGAATAGAAGTTAAAAAGAAAAGATTACCTATTCATGAATCCTTTGTTGTAGGAAGAACCGCATTGGCGAATAAATATTTTGGACTATGCTAATCTGTGAGGCTGTGTCACTATAAAATGTCATTTGTATATAGTGAAAGTTGGCCCCTTCATTTATCAAGGTGGTTAAAATTTTATCAAAACCAAAGGTCTAGGTTTTCTTCCTCGTATTTTCACACTTACAAATATTTTACTGAAAGCTAATCAAACGTTTCCGCTTTCTGCCACATGTACGTATCCCTTTTAGCAAGAAGGTGCAGGAAAAAATTCCTTTAAAAAATAGTTCTAGTCAAGTGCTTCACCAACAGATCAGCAAGATTGATTCCTATTCCTCTTAAATGAAAAATCTCTTCATAAATATAAATACGTGCACAAAATTTTCTTTATACTTTTATACCCGCCACTGTAAGATAGGCGCATATTCATTTTCTTTTTTTCTAAAATATTTATAACACCCGAAAGTAAGCATCAGAGACCCTATAAAGTATACATATTGTCGATCAGCGTGAAATTCTGAGTTGATTTAGCAATGTCTGTTCATCTGTGTGTCTGCGTGATGTGTGTTGTTGGCACTCTCCTGGTGGCAAAATTTAAGATATCGACAGAAAACTTGGTATAAAAATTGGAAGTTTCTGCACGCAGATTGGCATTGAAAATCTGCCAATTTGTTTAGAGCAGAAGCGCGCAGTGGAGCGTAAACTGAACTCAGCTCCGTTTTCCTTAGCAAAAATTTATGGGTTTTTACTCATTACTAGGAAATTCTCAAGGTTAGAAAGCTGAAATTTCCCACAATTACTTTACGATACTGTCTACTCTTCACAAGCAAAGACGGGAAACATCGGCCATGCCCACACAAGGTTACAAGAAATTAAATTTTGTTTTTTCCCCTTTTTTGAGGTATTATGCTTATTTATCATAAAGCAAAGAAGACAGAACGTTTAAAACTATTTTGTACTGTCCTCAAATGGAGATATATTATCTGCCTAAAAATGGGTTAATGCTAAAATTAATAGGCTACATACCGCGATTGCTTTTTTCTCAATAATACCAGTGATGTGGGTATCAAATAAAAGAACTTGGACAACAGAATGCGAAAAGCATAGTGCGGGTTATTGCCAGATTCGACTCTCGCGGAATATTACTTTCTTACTTGTTTATTATCAGATTCAATGATAAAACAAAAAACACCAACTAAGATAACTTGTAGGAACAGAGTTTACGGAGCCTTTATTGACAACAAAAAAAGTAGTAAACAAAGAAAGTGCGCGTGTTACACTCAAGACGATGTTGTATTGAACTAAATTCACTGCCTTGAAAGAAAACTTTCTTAGAGATAAACGCGAATACGAAAAATGTTCGCAAATTCGTTCACATATGTGTTATGAAGTGCAAAAGAACGAATGCAGAGCGAACAAACGTTCACTTTTTTTAAATTTGATGTGATATTAAAATAAACGTGGATATTAAATATGATATGTCTATAAAGGTAAATAAAGGCAGTCACAAAAAATCGATGTCGCTGTTAAACTCATTGAAGTTCTTAATTTCTTTGAAATGCGAATGTCAGTGAATATGGAATTTATTTCCGAAACATTTTCCCTTTGCGAATAGCAAGGAATATACCTATACAGATTTATATAGATTTATATACACATTTTTATCCTGGCTATACATTCAACTTTTCCGCGGGCCAGAGATATCAATATATGTTTTATACGTTTCAAGATAAAATTTTTCTTTGTAGTGGACGGATCGTGGCGTGTTATGTGTGTTTTAAATGACAGATCGAGAGATGGATGAATGAATTGCGTGGTCTGAAAATTTGATATTGATAAAACATTACTGTCATATCGTATAATAAGGAGTGAAAATATCAGAAGAAAACTTCAACTTTCCATACCAGTTTTCGACATTCCGTTTCATTATAAAGACGACAAAATTTTAGCACAATTTTCCTAGCCGTGACATGGATAAATGGAGGAATGGTTAAATTTTGATTTGCAATTTTCTGCTTTATATTAAGAATGTGTGCATAAAACGAACTGTTAAATGCATTTTTTAATTTGTATATTGAGAGAGAAATTCATTCATTGATTCATACAACAGATGATTTCCGAAAGTAGTAAAAGCGTAGTGGTGGAAAAACATCAATGTGAAATATTTTCTTCTAATAAAAACAGAGATGAAAATGTAAAGGAGCATTTACTCAAACAAAACTTGAGAGTAATAAAATAGAGAAAGAGAGAAAAATCTAATAATGGAATGGTGAGAGCGAGAAAGTGGGCGAGTGGTAGAATGCAAATATGAAAAGCACAACAAGTTTTGACGATAAAATTGTAATGAAAAAGCTAAATAAAAGTAAAATTGCCGGAATCAAAATAAACTCAATAAAATTAAGCGAAAAGGGAATGCAACGAAGAAAATTCTGAGGTCCGGCAAGCAACACGAAGAACGGGAGAACGTATTGAAGCATACAAAGAGAATGCACATCGCACGTGTACTTAACTACTTGTTGCTATTGTAAAAATATTTGCTATGTCAGTTGCTTGTTCCGGTGGTAATGACATGTTTCAGTTATGTCATATTTAGACGTATACGCACTAGTAAGCAATTACAAATAGTTACGTGTTAAAAATTATTTAGTTCAATTAACGCACGCTTCCACTGACTGTTCATAAGTTGATAATAATAATAAATTATCAACACATTCAACATCAAAAGGACGGGTTTGATGTAAGTTTAAGTTTTGCGAACAAGAATGACACTTGTTCATCGGACAGAAAAGATCACCAATACATTTTAAAGTTGTATGACATTCTAAATGGTTTAATTATGGTGCCGCGATCATGAATAGGTTGATACAAAAGAACAAAGGAAAACTTTATTCAATTTAAAAAAAATTCAAATCTCGTTATTTTTCAATAACTTAAAATACTTAGTATTTTCTCTTAGATAGATAGACAATGTTTTAAAATTTTCTGAAATAAATAATTTTTTTATCACAAGTACCAACAAGAAATAAACGGCTCTGGCCGAAGTTTTTATGCTCCTTATCTATTTCTGAATAGAGTAAACGCAAAGACGCAACGACCGATGAAGAAGTCCGTGTTATTTTGCCGCAATAATATCGTGGAGACTTGTGAGAAAAAAAAACTCCGTTGTAACCGACATCTCAAATAAGAAACTGTCAAATCTTTCTCAGTCTCTCCTTGATTTGGATCATGCTCTTTATAATATAGGATCGCATAGAAACGACAGTGAAAGACGTCGGCCTAGTGGTCCTACATTGGCAAAAGCAGAAAAATTCCACTGCGTTGTCGTGCAGCAAATGCGATGCGTGTTTATGTTTTACCGCTAAAAATAGTTGTCTCATGGAGTCTCATCTGTTGCAATGTAACGAAAGGTATTTTTTATATTTGATGTATTATATCACCGTAGGCAGTAAATTTGTGTAGCTCAAGGAGCGATTGTCACGTTCAAATTTTATCTATTAAAAATAAAAATTATTGAACTTTAAGGTTAAGGAATCATTCTACAATAAAGCCGGCGAAATATTAGCGTTTTATGCCTTTTGATGCTTCCATTAACGAATAAGCAAAGTTTGCAACAAATAAACGCACGTGCACATAAATGAATGGCTAAGACTTCCTAGATTATTGTACACTCGTGCAGATACATTTTCAAAATTGAACTAGGGTCTTGTGACCCTATATAACTTCAAATAAATTCGTATAGATGCATAAATTGTGAGAATAAAAAACACACAACATTTAGTTAATTCAATATAAAAATTGGGTGAAGGATTTCAATTCCGCGCTAATTTTATAGTACAAACGTCTCTCGTACAACTTAGTGCTTGCCCAGCCCGATATAAACACGACAACGTTATACGTTCTGCTAGACTTCTTTTCGATTTCTTTTTGCCGTAGTTTCTATTTTATTCTTGATAAGAGGACTTTCAATCAACATTGAGGAAAAAAAATAGATTTGCCATGATTTTTGATGAAAATTAATTTTGTGATCGTCATCGTTATTTTTTGAAAAAAATTTTTTTTTTTAATTCGTGCATTTCGTGATAAGGGAAATTTGATATTTTTATACCCCTTTATACCCACTAATTATTAAATGGCGTATACTGGACCTGTGCTGACATCCAGAAGACCTTGTATTATACCGATGGATTCGGGACCACTTTTTGCATCGATCTAAGTTTTCTGCCCCTTTACCTTGTATTCAACCTACAGCTCGCAATTTTTGATATGTTTTGATGAAATTTGAAAATGTTACGGATCAGGTCACTTTTGCGACCATTCCCAATAAAACCCCTCACTTTGAAAAGTCGGCATATGAACAGTTGTATCAAACACAGTGGTGTACATGTACCATGGTGTGTGCCCTTGTTTTTCTATAAAAACTTGAAGTTAAATTGTTTTTTCATTTATATGCATATGGAAGGAAATTTAAGATATGACTTTATTTCGACAAAAAGTGGTACATTCTGCTCTAATTTATATTACCTCAAAATCTCGTATAAACTTTTTCGATGTAACATAAAACGCGCTTAGATACAACGCGTTACACGTTGCTTTGGCCTCGTTTTATGTTATACTTAAGTTTAAGTTATGTTATTCTAATATACACCTTAATATTACACCTCCATACCGCGCCGTATGAATTTATCCTGTTATACTAAGAACACATGTAAGTTAATCTTTGGTTGAATTTATTAACGCTGTTGGTTTCTTCGCTCATGTATTGGAAGAATGTATAGGTTTAACATTTTTCATGCTTGGGTGAAAGTACAGATGCTGATCGAACCTTCGATTACGTATACGGTGTTTTGTGGGATAACATATTTGCAAGAAGCAGTGCCTGCACAAAATTTTAATAACAGAAAATATTCCATTTTTTTTTTTTTGAATTTTAAGAGTCGGAAAATGGGCGACGCAATTCGGTGATGAACTTTGGGAATTAGCTCAACGTATGACAAAGTCTCAGGAAATTAAAGCGGTTTGTATTTCATTCGAAATTTGATCGAAGAAGTTTTTCATTTTATTCATATTTCACGTTTTAGAAATATAAGGAGTATAACGCCCGAGTAGAACTGAAAAATGGCACCGAACTTATAAAGTACATAACAGCTAATGTAGGCAAAATGTTGGCACGCAAAATGGATGCTATTAAATGCATTTTACGTAAAGCTGAGTCCACCTACGAGGAGTTTGAGTACAATGAAACCTATGCGCTGAGCGAGTTTCAATATTATTCAAGTAAATATTCACAGTTTGAGGGTAAAGCTATAGAAGAACTGCCGGAAAATATGAGAGAAGATGTACGAATGTACTTAAATTTTACTTTAAACCCGGATACACATTTTTATAATATATCTGTGGATACCGAGCATAGTTCCGTCCATGTGCCCACCAATGTTTATGATAGAGGTGAATTACAAAACGAAAATGTATCAGGTAAAAGAAAACTTCGCTTCGTTTTTGCCAATACAAGGGTTTTAAGAGTCGGGGGACGTTAATTCTATTAAAACACACTTAATATTTATGACAGATGCATTAAAAAACTATGCGGCACCTATAGATTCAGTCAAAATTAGTTTGGCCTTTACAATGAACCGAATTTCTGCTTTATTTGGCTGCGGTTAAAAGAGTAACGTTTCATAGACTTGTCAGAAGACAACTGTTTTACCTGTTTCCGCCATGGAGTTTTCTATTTTGCAGATGTGCTGCGCTCTATTCTTCAATTAATTGAGTAGGCTTGATACGTTTCGTAGGCCAAAGAACAATGTTAAACTATTCGCTTAAGGCTGACCAGCAAAAGAAGTTCGATATTTGCGTACATAGATGAGTGAAAAATTGAATGAACCGAAGTTCTATCTACAAATTGAAAAGAGAGAAAATCGGAACATTTTTTTAAATATTTTAGTAAGGGATAAACATAAAGTGTCGTAGTCCAACTAGGAGATAATTCGTGGTCCAAAATGCAGAAAGTGGCACAACCGCTGCACAACCCTGCCTAACCTGGCAGTATCAACAACTATTATGATTACAGTGCGCAAGTGAATTATAAGATCAAAGAATTAAAATGTCTCAGATTAGTCAATAGAGAAGGCATCTTGCAACATAATAATGCGGGACCGTACACGTTTTTAATGGCGCTTGAAGGAGGAGTTTGGCTAACGAATCACCGTTTAGTCAGGACCTTCTTCCTTCCGACTATCATTTGCTTTTGCCCCCTGCACACGTCTTTTAATGATATACAGTCGACTTAGAAGATGTCTCAGTTCTAGAGGGATGGCATCATCAGTCTACAATGAAGCTTTCAAGAAGTTATCGATCGCAATCGCATAAATTTGGGTTAATGAAGTTCATGTAAAGGCCAAGAAAAGTGTGGTATAACTTTGACGAACAAACGGCTCGAAGTTTTTCTTTCACCCAATACATCAACTTTTTTATGTTCAGTCTATGCAATTTCATGTCAAACATTTAAAGGTACGAAGACCTTGAAAGCTATTATGTGGACAGAGGAATTAGATGAAGTGTTCAGGCAAAATTATCAAGCAGATCCAGCTTTATCATGGCAATACTTCGGATCCGATACTGGCATTTTACGTCATTACCCGGCTTCGCAATGGCAAGAGCACGACAATAGCGATAATGCCGATACCTATGATTGTCGCAAACGTTCCTGGTATATTGAAACGGCCACCTGTTCTAAGGATATCGTTATTTTGCTGGACAATTCAGGCTCAATGGCTGGCTTCCGACGACATGTCGGCAAATTCACTATACGCAGCATATTGGACACGTTTTCCAATAATGACTTCTTTACGGTTTTTAATTACTCAGCCAAAGTAAGCGATTTGATACCATGTTTCAAGGGGGCTTTAGTTCAAGCTACGCCTGAAAACAAAAATGTTTTTAATGATGCTATCAGCAAAATGGAACCCACCGGATACGCTAATCTTTCGCTGGCTTACGAAAAGGCTTTTCAGTTGTTGAAGAAGGTAATAGGAGACACTTGAAAATTGTACCGTAAAAGAATGAAAATAAAATGCTCGTTTTTCCTCTTCAGTATTATATACAAAGACGTTGTAATGAAACATCTACTTGCAATCAAGCCATTATGCTGGTCACGGATGGTGTGGCGGGCAATACCACAGAAATTTTCGAAAAGTATAACTGGGGTAATGGGGAAAATGGTACTATGAATATGCGCGTACGTATATTCACGTATTTATTAGGAAAAGAAGTAACGAAAGTTAGAGAGATACAATGGATGGCTTGCCTAAATCGCGGTTACTATTCACATGTACAAACTCTAGACGAAGTCCAAGAGGAGGCCTTAAAATATGTTGACGTTATAGCGACACCCTTGGTATTACAAAATATCGAACATCCACCCACGTGGACACATTCCTTTACCGATAAAAGTGTAAGTAGGCGAACATAGTAAACGCAATCCACAATAGATATCTACATTTTTATAGTATGTGCCAGGTGAAAATGCAACAGATACAAGGCTAATGATAGCTGTGGGCATACCGGCATTTGATCGTTCCTATATGAAACCGAATTCGTCGGCAAAGGCTCGTTTACTTGGTGTGGCCGGAACCGATGTGCCTGTTGAAGATATTGACAAATTGACCCTGCCATATAAGGTATCACTAAAACATAGAAAGTTTTCTTTTCTCAAATCCTCATTGATTGCAGCTTGGAGTAAATGGCTACTCTTTTGTGGTGTCCAATAATGGTTATGTGTTACTGCATCCGGATTTAAGGCCTATAACGGTGAGCGTATATTATTCTACTCACACCTTTTTGCAATTAAATTTTTTCTTATATCCTGTAGACGGCTGGCATTTTGAATCCTAATTACAATAGCATCGATTTAACTGAGGTTGAGCAACTTTTTGAAGATAATTCTCCTCGTGAACCCGGTAGCTCTATCTTAGAACTACGAAGCGCCATGGTACGCCATCAAACGGGTGAATTTAAGGATCTTAGCGTTAAACTACATTACGATAAAATGCGACGCGTGTCGGAAGAGAAGCAAGATTATTTTTTTGCTCCTCTTCCTAATACTCCATTTTCATTGGGCATCGTCTTACCCAGTGAGTATGGCAAAACGTGGATTAAGGTGGGCGAAGAAGTCCTAAGAAATGTCCATATGAAAGTCAATATATCGAATTTTTTTGTGGGTGAAAATTGGAAAATTCATCCCGATTGGGTTTACTGCAAGTATCATTACCTAGAGGGTCACGAATTTAAAACTCCTGAAGCCGAGCTGAAACATTTTTTAGGTAAGATGGTACGTAAAGATTGGAAATGGGCAGAACAATATGAAGATGATGAAGTAGATAGTGATGAAGATAAGGAGTGTAAGTCATGTAAAATGTGTTTATAAAAAATTTGTCTAATTCAATTCTGTTTTATAGTCAATTGTGGGCGCGGAACATTACACGATGATGCCTATTACTGCAACAAAGAATTAGTACACTTGTTAATATTCGATGCCAAGGTGACTAATTCCAGTTACGGGCAGTGGAAATTTGAGAATGAAGAAGAAAAAGCCTTAATTGAGAGTTTCGGTGGTACACTACGTTTTGTAGCGACTATGAGCGGTTTGACTCGTTGGCAATTTATTTACGGTGAAGTGGAGGTGGACACTGACAGAGAATTTGGCGATTATCATACTAAAGCTATAGATGAAACCTGGTACAAAAGTGCTATATTGCAACATCACGAAGAACGGACCGAAAGTTTTGTTTATTCGGTAAAGCATGCACGGGATCCCGATGAAGATAGTGATTTGAAGGTGACAGCTTCTCATGCTATCTTCCCTAGAGATGGTGGCAAAGAAGCGCCTGCTTGTGTTGTTGGTTTTCAATTCTCGCATGCTCTAATGTTGGAACGATTTTTCAATATTACTTCAATAGATAATGTAAGTGGAATTTGAAAAGAAATCGTAGTGAAATGGTCGAAAGACTGTTTTGTTAAATTGTTGCCTGTAGTAGAGGAAAGATTCGGGTAACAAATCTAGAATAGCTGCCTTAGATGAACGATAACACTAGGAGAACATAATTAAAAGCGCACATCAGATAAATGAATACATCATATACATAAATCATATCTAGAAACTGGTATATAGTGAGACTGTGCCCACCATTAAGTACACTACACCAATTCGCTTAATAGAGTTATTTATATAACGACATCTCAGAATAAGGACTTATTGTGGAAGTGGTGAAAAAAGTTGCCCGATCCGAATTATTTTCAATAGCGCTCTGGCCCATACATGTCAGTGTACAAAATATCATTGAAACGTCTGAAAAACTGCGTCTTGGAGGCTGAAAGAAGCAAACAATATGTATAGGTGGACGGACGGGCAGATAAGCTTAAATTGACTCAGAATCACTTTCTGAATCTGTGTTGGTCAGTATAATATGTGGCGGGTTCTCCTGGATGCTGCGTAGATACCCACAATCTTAGTACTTTTATAGTTGCGACTATAAAAATAAGGTATAAAGAGCAGTAAAGACGACGCTCAAATATTGTGCAGGAACTGAAAGAAATACTCCCTGCGGGCAAAACAGTGTACTACACATAAGAAGGTTAATAGGGGTAAGTGAAAAGAGAAATAGCATGGAGGTGAACACTACCGTGCTATCCACTACCGCGAATAGCTACGGGCAGTGTACGGAAATACTGTTATGAAATTAAAACATGAAGTGAAATTGCGTAATGTTGAACCGTTCAGGTTGGGCACAGAATAGAGGAAGTCTGTCAATAAACACTGAGAATTAGATGGCTAGAAAAGTTAGATATAATGGAAAGCAAGGAGAATCTTTAAGACCTGTTTCCTTCTTTTACAGTGTAACGGTTGCATAAAAACATGTGATAGCGATGAAAATGAATGTTACGTCATTGATAATAATGCTTACATTATGTTGGCTCGCAATGTTAATCACACAGGAAAATTTTTTGGCGAATACCAAGGTGATGTCATGTTAGCCATGGTGGAGAAAGAGATCTTCCAAAGTATAGAAGTCTACGATTATCAAGCTCTGTGTCCGACAGGGTCGGATCAAAATAGTGAAGGAAATATTTTGAGTCATGTAAGTATATAAGCAGTGAACTACAAATATTTTCACATATTATGAACATTTTGGTAATGTAATAAGTTGTTGTTTTTGACTCCTTTGGACTTTAAATTTTTTGACAGTCTCGCTAAGCATTTTATAACATAGCTGCAAGCAAGCACTTTATTAACAAAATGAAAAAGCTAAGGTAGTTTCGTTGTTCAATTTCGGACGAAAACGCGTAAACATTAAGAGAGCAAGTCACTGTAGTAGGCTAAAAAGTATTTTTTGTGCAACTTTTTCGAGGGAGAATAACAATATTCTTGGAAATAATTGAGCATATTGTCTAAATATTAATTATTTTGTTAAGATGTTAACATCTGGCAAACCCGCACCACATATTTTTTATTTAAGGGACTCCGCGACCTACGCGTTTTTTTGCACAAATTTTTGATTCAAAAATATATAAATTATTTTTGGAAAATCTTTTACATGATAGAGATTTGAAAGGTACGGTAAAAGCTTAAAGGCAAAGAATGAAAATTGTAGCTATTGCGTGGGCAGTTTTTAAAAATCGTCTTTCGAGAAAGAGACGTTTAAGGTTGTGACACGTTCAATAAATTTGCTGCCCTTAGCCTGTTGCAAGTTCTGGGACCAGTCCAAGTTTAAATATTCTCTGTGATGCTCTGTGTTCGATAACTTTACACTCGAAAGTGCCTGTTTTGCTGCATATGTCAAAGACAGAAACGCAAGAGAACGTATAATACTTTAGTTGAATTCAAAACCTGGACATATAAGCCACAAATCTATTGGGTTAGTCCATCTCCATTCAACATACTAAAAAAAAAAAAAATTCCAAACCAAGGCTGAAAACTTGATAATTCATAACCAGTCATAAACAAAATCAAAATTTTAGGTTCTTAGCAGAAGCATTGGAAGCGTTCCAAATGTGTTCAGCTTCGCATCTGCTCAACAAGCGTCTCAGTAATATGTGTTAGTGTCCTGGAGGAGTTAGAGATCGACGAATCGTATAAATTTGATTTACATACCTTTCTTTCTTTTTATAAATAGTTCATCGAAGTAAATTAAGTTCATTAGTCTAAGAATTCATTTCATTAGTCTAAAATTAAAATAATAATAATAATAATAAATTAAGTTCGAAATAAGTATTCTTTTTCAGTATTAAGCTCGAAATAAGTATTCTTTTCCAGTATTAAGATCAAAACAAGTATTCTTTTATATTTCTGGTAGATGATAGAAAGAGAGAGAGAGAGAGACGAGAATAAAGAGAATATAATTGACTATTGCCAAAGCAACCAAATGACAAAGCTTTTCAACATTTTTTCAGAATTTAAACTGAGGCACTTTTACGGACTTCTTACAACTCTGTTATCAATAGCAGTAGTAACACTATTAATTAGCAGCCGTGGCGAACACATAATTTAGAATTCTTGAATACCAAATAACAATTGAAAGGAAAACAAATCATATTTTCTATTTACCTACTATACGGGTTTCCTCGTACATACATATTTATAGCTTAAATTCTCCCCAAAACAAAGAATTGTATATGCTTCTGCATTGCAACTGCTTGAGAAAATGTGGCATCATATCAAAAAAGTATTAGCAGAAATTTTGTCCGCGCAAATTATAATGTTGCTCTAGAGCTAAGCAATTTACGCTGTTAAAACATGTCGTTTCTTCGACATTTAAAAGAAACAAATTTATCTCCTCTTAAAACGTCAATTCCTTCACCCTTGACACCTTCCTTTGATTTTCCCCCTTGCACTATTGGTAGTACTGCGTTGCGATCGAAATATATTTGAAAATTTTTGAAATTTAAATTCAATTTGTTGTCGCTACAAATTTAATTAATAAATCCCAATTCGTGAGAAACTTCGAACACACGGCCTAGTAGGAAACGAGACGATAAATGCGGTATTTTCTATACTAATATACGGTTCAGTTAAAATGCCCATCTTTGCACACAAGCTTCGGCCATTACTGGCAAACATTTATTTTCACAAAAAAATTGCTAATTTGGTTTGCGATCAGGCTGTTATGTAAAATGAATTCTCATCAAATGTTGCTTCAATTCGTTGTTACACTAAACGCAATCGCTAAGGCTTCCTCTTGTATAGCGCTGTACATTGTTTTTTTTTGAGTGAACGCCTTTGAAACAAAAACAACAGACCGAATAGTCTTCCTCTGAGTTAAAACGGCCTAAAAATTTATCCGATGTATCTCCAACGTTTAGAAACTCAAAAGCACTTTGACATCTTAACTACTTACATATATTTTACATTCTTTCTAAAAACCTCATAAAGAGGAGACACGATAATTCCAAAGTTAGGAATAAATTGGGAATAAATTTTGAATAGTAATTACTCATACCTATGAAAGCTCTAACTTCAGAAACATTTTGAGGAACTTACGCCCTTAACGCCGAAGCAATCCTTATTCATACTTAAACCATTGCAATCAACATTCAACTCTAAACAAGACCCTTTCAAAAACCGACACTTACTGATTTTCAACCGCACACCAACTGATGGAAGCATTTCCAATACTAGTTCGACTATTTTAATATAATCCTCCATATTACAACTTGTGATGATAATATGATCCACATATTCAACTATGTTTTTGAAAAATAGCAGTAGCAGGCCTAACTCCGGAAGGTAGGCGGGCCATCTTGAAACTATCCGTATGCATGCTCCACGCGCATAACATATGCGTATCTTCATCTAATGTTAATGAAATGTAGCAATTGTTAGCGTCATCTGTTCAAACAACTATTCATACACTACACTGTAAACAAAAAAATTAGAATTGTCATTGAAATTCTCCATTATTTCTTTACAAAAATTGTATAATATATTAATTATATATAATAACTTATGTTTTATGCTTCAACCGCATTGCTGTGTTGTTGCTGTCCCACACTTTTTTCGTACTAACATTTGTCACTTCTGCGGTTTTTTCATCCGTAAAAGGCACATTTCTTCTTTGCCTTATTCTCTCTCGGCTCTTGTATGCCGTGCAGACACTGACTCCTCCTCCTTTTTCTTTACTTCGTAAAAGCTTTGTAGTTCCCGAAAAATTATTACTGGAGGAGAGAATATTGCGGGTTTAAATTATTGCACATATCTTTGTAGGACTTTATAATCGGTAGACCCGGATAACGCGGCTCCTTTAACAACCCGTATGCTTCAAAACCGGTAGCCTTTAATAAAGTTGTTATCTTCAAGCTGTGTCTTTTAACCGCAATCTCCACAAAATGAGGGTCTTCGACTCCTTTCCAATTGCTTCACTTATCAATACCTGGGCGGAATTCCTTTAAACCTGCCATTGGTATGGTAAAAAAACTTCCACTATGGCACACCGTCGCACTGACTTTTTCTTGCGCCTCTATTTTATAAGTTGTGCAATAATCGTACTCTTTTTTTGTTTGTGTCACAACAAAGTATAATGTTCTTGCACGAAAAAGAAACTCTTGTGCAAAAATGGTTTTATATATATTTACGCGTACGCACCTATGAATTTATAATCCTCATCGTCGTTTGTAATGTTGCTCCTTTTATAGCTAAGCAAAAAGTGAAGTTATTCACTTATATTTTAAGCTTTTACACTATCGTCTTGCCAATTGTAAACTTATGCTTATGTACAAAATATGGATGGTCTATAATATAACGTCACAAATAGATGGCGCTATTCCACGTAAACAATGGGAATGAAAAAGCAAGCAATCAAATGCCTGCCAGTTAGCAGAGTTAGTTTCAGAGACAACGAAATACATAGATGTTTAAAATTAACATTAGGCGATTCTTGGAAATCTTTTGTGTAACTGTATTAATCGTCCCAGCAATTCTTAGTCCAATTTAAAACTATCTCATCGTCTTCTTCACAGCTTAAACTTGCTTTGTGAACGAGGAATATTCATGGACAGTAAACTTGCCATGATGTACTTTATTTCATCCTTTTATAATGAAAAACAAAAATATTTTAATAATAAAAAATTTCTTCATATTTGTTCATATGAAAATTTTCTTTGAAATTTGTCAGAACGTTTAGCAAATATGCAATTTTGAATTCTCAAATTTTTCAAAATACGATAAAAACGATAAAAGCAAAGTAAATTATATTTGCTACATAAATACCTGCACTTTGGTCTTTTTTGGCGCATGCAAGCATGTATATGCATACCAATGCCCATACTCATTTAAAAGAAAGGATTGTATGTGCTTTTGTTCCGTAAACGTTTAAAAAAAAGCGACGCCATATCAACTAACTATTAACAGAATCTTTGCCAATGCGAATAATGAGAATGAAAGAGCTTGCGCACAAATGTCCGCTAATTAACTGTTATTGATAACAGATACACAAAAAGTCCTCAAAATGTCCTAATCCCAATTTTGAACAAAATCTTAGAACATCTTTGTATTTCTCGGCCTCTGTTATTGATTACAGAAACAAGAAATCTCTTAGTTTGAATTTTGAACAATCTGTTGGCCCATCTTGTCGTTTAGTTGTTTCTGCTACCGGGTGACATAAAAGGTGTCAACGGTTTTTTTGGTTTTCTTTTGATCTTTTTTCTGTAGCTTGCACTTTTCAAATGATCCCAAACTGTCATGCGGCTGATGTTTAGCGCCTACGTTATTTCCTGGCACCCTGCGTGCCGATCTCGTTCTTCTAGTTGCCAAATTTCGTAGGCCTTTTCAGTCAAATGAGTAAACAAGTCAATTTCGACTAATGTTGAGGATTTAAAGTTTAGTTAAGCACAGTCTGTAATCGATATAGTAGGCAAAATTTTAGTGATGCACACAGGGCATATATTTATACGCTAAAAAGATGTTATGCAGTAGACTGTATATATATTAATTAAAAAACCATTTTCAGCCTTTACAGTTACTGACTTTGAGTTGGCAGTGGCTAGTATCAGCATTATTCTGGTATTATTCTAATATCAAATGGTGGGTGGATGGAGCCCCATGTAAGTTTTAAGACAAAAAAAAAAAAATAAATAAATAACAACAACAGGAAGAATAAACTTTTTATTGTTTTGTTTGTGTCGATTATTACTAGTTTTAGAATATTTAGATGAAATTGAAGATGATTACGAAGCGGTCCCAGACAGTTTCTCCGGTGCACAGCAAAAAACCAAAGAAATTAATGAAGAAGGTGAACTCATTTTCCAAGAGCCCGAACCACCACCAGTCTATATTAATTGTGATAAGCAATCCACATTGTATTCCTTACAACCGAATTCTTTGGAGGGTATTAACGATTACATTAAAGTACCAAATTCACGACCATTCTATTTGAAGAAAATACCGAATACAAATTTATTATTGGTCGTGGTAAATGTATTGATGCCCTCGAAGGGTGTACGTTTAACCACCGAACCACAACCTATTGAATACGAGACCGAATTTCCGTGCTATAAACTTAATATGAGTTTCTATGAGCGACGACGTATTGAGGAATGCTATACGGAACATCCGGATGTAAGTTAAAAGAAAAACAAACAAGTACGATCGAGTCTTTTATACCCATCGCCGCTTACTTCTTATCAATAATGCGTAGACTATGTACGGTCTCTGAAGCTTCTTTCTGCATGTTGCAGAACGACATTTCGATATTCTATAATATTGAGCAGATGTGGTCGAGTTTTCCCATATCTTGTACACTTGCCGTGTCCTTTGTTCGATTTGGCTCAATTTCAATATTGACCTGCGTGTACGAACTTTCAATGTTCGCGCCATATGTGGACTCGATTGCTGCATTTTGATGGATGGACATGCCTAAATCGGTTTGCAATTTGACGCTGATCAGTATACTATACTGACTATACAGTGTTGCAAACGTTTTAACAAAATGAATACACCTTCGTGTTTTGGTGATGGGTATAAAAAGAGTTCCTCAATCAATTTTATTAATATCCGCCTTTTCTTTCTTCTAACTTTTAGGAAGATTTTTATACTTATTGTGGTAAAGCAACGTCCTTAAACTTGAATTTTATGACTTTTATAATGACTTTATTTATAATTTTGTTAACACGTTTTATAAATAATTGAAAAACGTTTTGTATGTACAACTATCTACAACAAAATAAGATAAAAACACCATCTAGAAAATAGAAGACAAACAACAAACGATCTATATATAGCCAAATTTATTAAACAACCAAAAAAATAATCAGGGATGGATAAATATTTTCCGAAGATAAACTAAATTTAAAAAAAAAAACAAAAAAACTAAACAAAACGGCGTCTATATTAATAAACTAAGTGTCCATCATTGAATAGGTTCTGTAACGAAACTGTTTCAGATATTACTACGAATAATAACCGACTATAGACCCAAGCCAAATATATTGTTTTCTAGAGGAAATTTATTTTTTAAAGCCAATTGAATTTTTTAAAAGGTTTATTGTAAGAAACTGTTATTTAGGAGAAAGTGAAAAGAAACTAAACGAAACAAGTAATAGATCCATATTCGTCTTTGGACGAATCTTTTATATACTCACCGCCTTCAACTCATACACAAAGATATTAAAAAGTATATTTATTGTGCACATGTTAGTTAGAGCGAGAACGACCATCTTTGCAGCAATCTTTAAAATCGATTTGCAACATATTTAAATTAATATTTATTGCTGTTTATATGTAAAAGGTTGAACTTTTCAATTTTACCTTAGCCACGACATTGGGAAAATCCTGCCCATTTTGAAATTCGTTATATGGTTATTAATTAATCGTCTATGTCAAGTTTTAGCTCTACGCGTTTTCCTAGAAGCTGTAAACTGAAAAATACACCAAGTACATCGCCAACTTCTGGCGGTGCCAATAGAAGTATAACGCGAAAAAATAATAAAACTCAGAAGGCCCAAGTAAGCTATGCCAACTTTCTTCACCTTAACCTTATTCAGTTTCATATATAAAAATTAAGGAACACTATTGTTTACGTTGTTAGTATCTTCCATAGCAAACAAATTAAATCAAGTAAAAAAAGCGCTGTAATGAGTGGGTCACATGGCACACTGCATTATTCATATGGTGATTTTTTAAAGTGTGTAGTGTTCTAAGTAAAGTGGTCGAAAAGTGATCATTGGGCCGAAACAGGTCAATGTACCGAATTCCATCAATATATCTCAAAAAGACAGACAGACGGACAGACAAGCTTAAAGCGATTCACAAAATGACTCTGAATCAATCGGTGTAACAAAAAGTGGCTACCACAAACTTAATATACGCTTGTGCCACGAGTGGTCTGAAGCGAGCGGTGTTGAATCAGGTTTAACTTAGGCAGCGATGTTCTGGACAGCTTTGAGAAATATTAGTGGTAAACATCTGCCTTATTTCTTTTTTTTTTTTTTGTGCAAATGTTTGATAATAGATCCACCCAGGGTTTGCAAACTTCATCTGCCCACCTACAACACCGTGTAAATTTTCACCTTTGTAGTTTTAACAAGGGGCAGACCGACAGAAAGAAGAGAATCTTGTGCACAATGAGCACATTTACATTTGTGGTGCATTTCTGAAGATGAAATGATGAAACTAGCATATCTTTAGCTATCTATCGGTAGTGAGTATCAAAAACTTTGAAATTAAAAAAAAGAAACATAAACTTGTATTGCCTTTAATTTTTCCGAAAAAATTAATACTTTATTGTTAAACAGTTGAATTGCCTTTAAAGATTTTGTAGAGATGAAATCATTAAATATAATTTAAAAAAAGAAAATATTAACAATACAAACAGTTAACTAAAGGATACTTAAATCCAAAAATAAGTAAATTATGAAAAAAAAAGAAAAGCGGAAAAATCGGCTTGATCCGAATTGGTTCATACCCACCATAGTGAAGTACTTAAACTTATTAATGTTTCTAGGTTCGTAATAAGATCTTTCCGGTCAACAGTTTTTTTTTTTTTTTCCTTGCGCTAGCTAGCATCATAAAGTGACCGGCAATGTTTTTGATTGATAGATTTTTCATTCTATGCAGATATCATAAAATTATGCGTCCATCCACAATGACTTGACACAATGATTTATATTTAAAAGAATAATGTACCATTTGTTGTAAGTTTTGACTTTAACAAAAAATGCCAAATTAAACATGAACATAAAAGTATCACAGAATCTTGACGCATTTAACTAGAAAGATGCACTTCCCGACTTCTTGCTAAGCATGCTCCTCGATGGTGGATGTTGCCAAACCGTAGCGAACACATAATGCACACGAACTTCAACAGAAATTTAGTTCAATGCTACAAAGAAAGCCAATCACTAATTAATGAATATTTTTTTGAAAAATTTAATTAAGAATGTATTATATAAATGTCTATCGTTTAGAGACATAAGCGATAAAAAAAGCACTATTAAATGTATAAATGTAAAAAACTTAAAAAATTTTACGAAATAAATTTAAAAGACCAATTGTATATTAGAGAAATTCGTTAAAACTTTAAACTTTTATACAGAAGTCTTTTTAATAGAAACCTTTCCGAGAGGTATGAAAAGGGGTTGATGAAGGTAAGTCAATTATAATTCATCTCAATTTTTTTTTCTTTGCTATTATATTTAGCACCTAACTTTTTTCTAATACTGACAGCGTATTATTGTAATTAAAATTAAAATTCAAACTAGACTGACGAAATTGCAAAAAGAAAGAATACAATATTTTGTCTTTTCATCATAAATGAGTTCCATCTGTTTTTGCTATATTATAAATGAATGCTATACTTTGTTGCTGTACCATAAGATTCCATTACATAGCATAAGACATGGTGGCCTTTGCCGCTGCCACAGTGTTTTCGGGATTTATATGGAAGGGTCATAACAGCATTCTCTGACGAGGAGCCAATGCATCGAAAGTATTTTCGATGATTCTTCTTCCCCGATTAGAGCTTTTATTGAAAGTTTTCTTGTCTTATGCTAATAGAACCAATAAGTAAGACCTCATTAAGTAGAGGAGATGATCCGTTGCCCACAAAATAGTACGAAAACGCATAATGCCATTGTCGCTTCATAATAAATTCCTCAAAAAATATTTTCCTTTAACAGAAACATATTTATGATTACAATGAAATACAAAACTAAGATCACAAAATGTTAGACCGCATATGTCAATTCAACAAAGCAACTAGGCTTGTATTTTATTCTCAAAGTACTTACGGTATAAGGAAGTACTATTACATTTGTTTGGATTAGCTTTAATGGCAGATTCTTCTTTATTGAATTTGTACCTTTTTGGTTTTGACAATTTTAAGGAACGAACGCCTTGCTAATACGGAAATCAGAAAAACTTCTTCATAACAGAGGAAACTATACAGTTTTCTAAGAACTAAGTTTCATAAGAACTATAAAGTTTTCTTTGACAAAACTTATATCAAAGTGAAAAACAAAATAAAAAAATATTATGGCTATAGAAAGCAAATAAATGAACAAAGCTACGAAGAATTAATATCCTGGAGCCCGATTAACAAAAGTGAGTACATTTATTCTACATAATTGAACAGATCTAACGTTTACTCTTAAAAGTACATCAGGGATCGTAACGTTTTTGGAACAAACTTGTATAATTAAACTAAAGTTTGTCCGCCTGAGTAGCCGAAGGCGAGGAATCTCGACTAGCAAGTACAACGAATTCTCTGGTCGTACAACGAATTCTCTGGTTGTGTTGACATATTTTTTCTTTTGTTTATAACAGACTTTTTTACACAATTTTTAATGAAATTTTCAAAGTTGCTTTTTTTTTTTATAAAATGCCAAAAAATAATAATAATATATCCGCTTGAGTAGCAAGTCAATGGTCGTGGGTTCGAATCTCAAGTGCGGCAGAGTTTTTAAGAAAAGCCGATAGCCTTAGATGCTAGTGCTTTTAAGAGTCTAGTCTTAGAATTTATTTCTCTGGCGAAATTATTAATAATAATAATAATAATAATAATAATAATAGTAATAAATTAAAGTTTCAAGTTTCCTTTATTGTTAAACGCAGTTACTGAAACATTACAAACTTTTCATACCCTCAGGAAATAAAGGGTATCAAAAAACTACTTGATGTCGCTCGTAACTTTCTTATTTACTTGCTTTTAGGCCATTTTATGGATTCTCCACTGCTTTCAAGACATAAAATAATATAGGAAGAGACATTTTGTACCCTGCTTAAAGTTCATTCTTAAGTATGATGAATATGTGCTTTGTATATTATAGAAATTTGAACGAATCTAAACTACTCATGTAATTGTGTAAGCTAAAATGCGAAAAGACCACTTTTCTTCTGCTTGCTTTCGTTTTGGTATTCCGTCAAGTAACAAGTAAAAAATCAGCTTAAACTCGTAAGCCCCTGCCACAATTGTATTGCAATGTATGCTTTCTGCCGAAGTCGATTTAATTTTAGCTACTAGGAATGGTTCTATTTACTGATATACATCCATTTCACACAGATTTGGCATATTAAATGAAATCAGCTTAAACACTTCTTCGATAATTTCAGCGCCAGATAAGCTTACCGCAAATATAAATGTAAAATTTTACACATGTTCTCCGGACAACTGTGGATCGAGAGACACACTTTTCTTAATATGGATTCTCTTTCATTCACTGAAAATTGATTCTAACGTGCAATTTATGTAAATAAACAGTTTATCGGAAAGCTTTCACCACCTGAAGCTTTTCAATTTTTAGTATGAAATTTAATTCTATTTTTCCGTGAAAGCGTTGCAATTTGTGCACTTTCAATTACGCACGTTTACGCACGTACGCTTCTATAACACGTGTCAGAAAAACGTGTCTCGCTTCATATTTTATGGCGTTTTATATAGTGGGGTGTAGTATGTGTTCATTGAATTTATAAATAGTAAATGAGCTCAATAAGAATGTAAGTAAGTTTGTCTTAGTTTAGGCAGTTAGGCCGAAAAGCAAATAAAATTAGCATGGGTGTAAGAGAAGTTGTGTCTTTATTGACGTGTCTTAAAACTATTCTTTTTAAATAAATTAAAGTTTTTATTATTTTTATTTAAACCAAAAGCTTCGCTAAATAAACTCAACAAAAGCTTTGTTTTATCAAAACCTTTTAAGAATATTACACTAAGGGTTAACAGTATGACTGCACACTAACATGCCTTCTTCACATATGCTATACTTATTATTCCTTACATTTCTCTCAATGAATGTTTTGAGTGCGTATACCAACCGTTGACCAGCTGACAAAATTCTATTCAGTGTTATTTTTGCCTCTCGACTAAACGCAATAGCAAATCAGAAGCAAACAACGCAGCAAAATACAAAAAAAATTTTGAAAATAAATATTTAAAAAAAGACTATCAAAAAATTGTATTGTTAGCGATAGTTTGGTTATTCATTTTATAAAATTGATACCTACAAGTAGGTAAGTTTGGTTTAATATCACAAAATTGAAAGAATTGATATAGAAAGGAAATAATAAGATTGTAATTAATAATAAAGTTTTCTAATTTAAAATTTGATCAATCTTTGACAGATTCAGAATTTTCTTCCATGTCAAATTAAGCGAAAGTTGTTTGATATAAATTTACTAAATAGAATTCTTGCGTTCCTTTTTTAATTTTCATAAGAACACAAAACATATGCTTGGCTTTGTAAATAGCAATCTGTATAGATAACTCGATGGGTGTACATATACATAAACAACAACTTGTTGTTATTTCAAAAGTTTTTTGCTTCATACTACTAAGGGGAAATGTTTCTCTACTCAGAAACGGAGGTGTACTAATTTCCACATCTGCGTATGTTAAAGGATGGAAAACCCACTAAAACCAGCATGAAAGAAACTGTTGCTTAAAGGCATATATAGCAAGATTTATGAGTTTAATCTCAGAACAAAGGTTTGTCATATTCGAAAGAGCCCACAACTAAAGGAAGCTAAGTAAAAATGGTTTTGATATTATTACCAACTGCCTGTGCTCATTGTTTATCGCAAATATATATATATATATATCCTTGATATAAATATCGCTGATTCATTTCTATAATTTAGATTTGAGAATTGCTGTAATTAAATGTTTGAATAAACACGCTAAAGATCTTCAAAAGATTCTTTCACAAAATTGCTGCGATGCGGTGTAAACAAACACTTAGTGTAGCAATAATCAGAATTGCTTGCATGTTACGGCTGTACTTAAAGTAATTAAACGAAGTTGTAACATTTACTGTGTATAACGCTTAAACTTCAGACGTTCAAAGAAGTTCACTATAGCTGACTGAGATTAACTGCTGTTACTGCGGTTGATATTTAAAATCGTGAGTTTATGCTCGTCCGTATCAAACACCTTTTCTTTCAACATAGTATACGCACGCAGATTGCAATCTAACATGCGCTTTCGATTAAAAGGGATAATCGTTGCCCGTTAGAAGGCTCAATATTTCTTCGACCACCCAGCCGAGGATACACGGAAGACGTTTTTTCTTGCATTGCGGTTGACAAAGGAGAACGTTATCGCATTATGGCGAGTAATAGCATTTCCCAAATAAAATGTTTTCTATTCTTTTGATTCTGGCGTGTAAGCTTTCACTGTGTAGTTCTCTAACTAACATGCATTCACTTAAATTGGACTTCGTTTTATAAGCATTTGAAAAGTATTGAAAGTGTAGCAAATTGTTAACAAAAGTAGAATAACGCAACTGTTGAAGTTTGCTTTAAGTACAACTTATGTCATATATATTGTTATTACACATGTGGAATAATCGAAATCTTATTAGAAATCCTACAAGGTATACAAATTTTTTTTCAGTGTGAGATTTTTGACCATTGTAGCCATGTGTACCTAATCGTTCCTATGTTCGAAGCGCCTGTTCTTTGGATCACCACAGCTGCACAAGTTGGTGAAGAAATTTAAAATCTTAGCAGAAATATACTTAAAGTACGGCCGTAGATTACGATTCACGCATTTGCCAAAAAAGCGCATCTTTAATGATCACTAGGTTAATATACAAAAATTAACAAAGAAAAACTTTGATTGGTTAGATAACCCGTTTATGGAGGCAGTACGTGTAGACATAGACACTGTGTTCAGTCTCTTTTACTTGAATTTATATCTAAAGCCTAAACTGAAATACTTTTTTCTTAAATCTGACAAGTTGTTTAAGAGCAGTTCCATTTTGATTAATGCATTAAAACTCACACAGATATAAATTATTGTTTGCTTGCTTGTCAACAGAATGCCATACTACCTCTTGTTACTGCTAAGACATTTTTTAATTTTAAAATATTTTTTTCTATTTTTTCGCTTTCATTTCCCTTCTCCTTTTTTTGTTATCCCAAGAGACTTAAATGTATGATTTGCACACAAAATCTTATACCTCGCGTCATCTACATTTTGCAGGCTTTAGAGTTCGTTTCACAAGACATTTACACGAATAATAACTTTATGTACGTGTGTTGAAAAAATCAAACGTTGCAAATATGCTTTACATGGGATGTTAGATACGCTACAGCAAGCGCATTGCAGCCCAATAAATACGAACTAAAAAAATGAAAAAAAATTTACCTGCGATCTTCAAACATACGTCCCTGTTATAAACTTGAAAATCGAGTGAGAAAAGGCGAATTTTTTCAACTCTTTTTTCTCGAAATCTGAGCAACAAAGTGATGGATGGATAAAAGCAAATTAATTCCATATTTTATTATGCTCAAGAAAGAACATAATGCAAATGTACCATAAATACAATAACGGATTCTTAGGTGGCAGGAAAAGAACTGTTTTTAAACTTAATCGCTATTGTCGAATCAGTGACATATATGTCGAGCTTCACTGACTAATCTTGGCCCGAATAAACGCACAAATAGCGTTAAAATAATAAAAAGTATTACTTGACAGTTCCACTTGTTGTAGAAAATGGCCGATCCAGCGTAACATTTAGTTACACCTACAACATGTCGGTGCATACTCAACCAATAAAGGGTCACCAAGAAAATATTTCTTTGGCTACTGAAGTCTAATATTTGGGCCAATCAAGCTTAGTTCTAAGCGCACACTGTAAAGTTATTTAAGTTTAGTTAGTTGTCTGAACTCATTTTTGATTGAAGTCATAAACGGACGAATGGACAGTGTCAGTATTACTCGCTTGTCACAGATATTCCAGCTTATTCTCACTGTTACGAAATGAATTGCAGAGCCGGTGTGCCTACAACTTTTGCTTAGAAGACATAGTAGTTGTAACTTGTAAGATCTTGATACTGTTAGTCACATAACGTTAATATTTAATAGCAAATGTGTTAATTAGTTGCACGCAATGGCAACAAGCAATCCGTAATCATTGAGTTCCGAGATGGCTTTAACACGGCGATTGCAAGTGCTGAAGTGTAAGGAAAGTTCGTTGCATTTAAAGCTCATTACACCTAGGAGAAAAATATTGCTCGAGACGAACAGAGTCGTCTTTGAAATGCTTTCTTGGTGGGCATATGTCTTCAATTGAATTTGCAAAATACATTTTGCTTTTAAATATTGCTTTAATACGTATGTTCCGTTCAAACTGTAAAAACTATGAGAAAAATTTCAATTGATTTTCCGACCGCGGTCTACGCTCACGAATTCTGTGTGTTTCTGTATTAAAAAGACTTCATGGCATGTAAGAACAAGAAGCAACAAAAGCAACTTGTTTACATTTTATTTCAGTAGAAAGCTGAACATTAAGAGCTAAAAACACCGCTTACACTTAAATAACGAACGTCGAGTATTTATATGAGTTTTATGTTTTTCCTTCTTTCTCCTACTTTTTTTTGTTTTCATATGTGAACAACGCACAGGAAACCAAGGTCACGCGTGATGATGAAATGATGATGATGGAATGATAATGAATTCTAAATAAACATGTATGTTATGTGTTTAAAGGAGAAAGAAAAAAAGAATCTGTGCTTAAAAAATATAATGGTAGCCTATTTTCTAAAGCATTCATCAACAAATAGAAGAAAATTTCCCAAAATTTTTGGTTGATGCGTTGCTCGAAAAGATTCCTAAATTTTCCGCTTATTGGCATTATTTCGAATATACATTTTTTTTTATACCATACATCATTTGTGGTAGAAGATGGTACCAAGTTTGTGCGGATGTATATAATACCCAGAAGAATATCAAATAGACCCACTTTCTATTAAACTCATCAAATCGATCTAAGCTTGTCCGTCCGTCTTATTTTCTTCTGTTCAATCTACAGCCTGCAATTATTGAGATATCTTTATGAAATTTAACACATCACCTCTTTTGAGCCAAGGGCGAAAGCCAAGGGACAACTTTTTCGCCTTCTCATATAATGCCATATATTTTTTTTTTGTGAAAAGTTTTTCTATGGAAAAAAATGGCACATTTTGAAACTTTTTCAGTAAATACTGTAATGGTATAATGGTGTTTATTTTTGGCAGACGAGTGTACGAATAAATATTATAAAAAAAGGATATATGAATTTCTTACAGAGCAATTTATTTTAAATGCAGAAGATTCCATCAAAGCTGTGGGTAGTCTACGGATATTAGAAGCAGCAAGGAATTTCAAACTTCATAGCCGCAAGCTCGTATATTTTAATTTTGAAAATCGCGGCGACATGACAACGTCCGACGGATTACTCAGTGGAGGCAACCAGGTACGCTGTGTGTTGCTGCCATTGTAAAAATCAAAAAGAAACATTTGACAAGAGATTATTGGACACCGTTTGAAAGTGTCTTAAGCTCGTTTCAATACAAAAGAGATGAGCAGCGACAGAGGACGATCTGCTATTGTACTTGCGAAAGTTAAAACACTACACAAAAGTCCACGGGCTGCGTACTCTTCAGTGGCAGTACATAGCGAGTAACGAATGAACCGCGCATCGCTGTATGTAGCTTTCAGTAGAGCTTCAAAGAGTTGCAACTCCATTCCAACTCCACTCGTCCTACGCCTTCTTCGAGAATTGACGCAGTTCAACTGGACATTTCAAAACTACAAACGTATAGAAAATTTTTAAGATATTTTAGTTATTTTGGCAGCAACGGTTTGACGAAAATTTTTCTTCCAAACATAAAATATTGCATATATATGTTGAAGATGTTAAGCGGTATGAGTCACGACTGTAGTGTCAAATTCTTTTCTTCGCTGAAACGTTGCCTTTATGAGAGTTGTAGAAGATATGGGGATAGAAGGTAATGGAAAGGGAAGCATATCTAAACGCGTCATTATTATTTTAAGTAAGACTGAGGCGCTACTAAGAATAAAACATTTGACAAAGAAAGAGCTTCGTTCTGGAGGCAATCCCTTCAAAGGATCACTTTTAAATGTGACAATTTTGAATAGAAAGCTTCTTTTAGAAGAACTGAATCCAGCATTGGAAAATTTCGTAGCAAGTACGAAGAGAAGAGACAGGAAAATAATAATTGTGGGA